AAGAGTGTATTGTGTATGTGTGTATTATATATATATATATATATATATATATATATATATATTTAGAGAGAGAGAGAGAGAGAGAGAGAGAGAGAGAGAGAGAGAAGAAAAGGAGAAGGGAGAGAGAGACAAGGAAAAGGTCTTATGATAGATATAGTAGTGATATTCTAGGTTGCTATTGATCCGTTATTTGTATCTTATAGTTTAATATTCTCAAGGAATTGTGGTCAGCATTTGGGACAGGCTCTTTTTGTAAAGGATTTTTTTTTAAAACATAAGAAATGTGTCATCCCTGGCCTCCACTTACTAAATGCCTACAACACCTTTGTTTATTGTAACAACTCAAAGTAGATTTTTAAAATTTCTCTAGTTGACAGAACCACTTCTGAATTACTATTCTGATCTATTACAAATTCATGTCTTTCTAATAGTCTTAAGTGCATGTCTTTTCAATTTTATTCACCAACAGACTTTGTGAAATGATTTTTTAAAAATGCCAACATATTATGTCTCCAGAAATCCTGCATACCATTGCTGTCTTCCAATGTAAATAATGTCAGTATGGCATAATGTGCATAATGTTCACAATAATCACGGCCTGACTCCTAATGAGCATTTTTTCTCTCTTGTAATCATTATAATTGAATGTTTTTAAATTAAATTTTACACAAATTAAAACAATATGGCATTTATGTCTGTACAACTAGTAAATGTTTAAGAGTTTCCATTTTTCATAGTAATGAGAGTACAATAAAATATATAATTGCATATATTGGTGGTGGAGGGGTAAATTGGTCCAAAACTTCTGGATGACAAAAATAATGTACATCAGCGACTTAAAATATATACTTTTGTGACAAATTGATTCCATTCTAAGAAACTCTCATATCCTTATTGTCTGTAATATATACACAAGTTTAAGAACAAGGGTACTCATTCTAGTGTTATTTATAATTGAAACAACTTAATGGTCTGACAACATGGGAATGATCTAATGAATGGGGTTTTCATATGATGGAAAAGTATGCACCCATTTCAAATATGCTTTATAAAATCCTATCATGGACAATATTAGATAAAAATAGCAGGACAGCCCTAGCTAGTATGGATTAGTTGGCTGAGTGTCATCCCTTTCACTGAAAGGTTGCTGATTTAATTCCCAGTCAGGGCACATACCCAGGTTGTAGTTCGATCTCCTGCGTGGGTGGTGTGTGCAGGAGACAACCAATCAATGTTTCTCTCCCTTGCCTTTACTCTCTTCAGAGAAAATCAATAAAAACATATTTAAGTTTATATAGATATCAGGCTTTAAAATTGCATTTTAAAATGTCACCCAAACCATGCATAAAAGATATAAGCAATAAAATCTTGTATAAAAATGCATTAATGCCCAGCCTCTGTGACTCAGTGGTCCTGCACAAACCCATGCACCAATAGGTAGCTGCTTCAAGTTCTGGTCAGAGAACATGCTCAGGTTGCATGCAGTAGTGAGCATGCAGGCTGCCAATTGATGATATTTCTCTCTCATTGACATTTCTATCTCTTCCTCTCCCTTCCCCTCTCTCTAGTAAAATCAATAAAAAATACATATTTTAAAAAATAATGTAAGGTATTTGATAATGACTGTTGCCTACTCATTCCATTTGGTGAAAGAGCAAGAAGATGGGATAGTACATGTTTGAGTGAGCATTTACTAGCGTATGTGCAGTAAAACACATACTCTAACAAATGTAATTTATTTCTCACTCGTATCATATAAAAGCTGAGTATTATACCCCAAAGCAACCCTAAGACACAATGATGTTCTCGGGATTTTAATGTCCTTAGACAAATCTGGTTAGTAACCTGAAATTATAATTGTGTGGTTAAAACTGTTGGGAACATCCAAAACACCACCAAAGGTGATATGGGAATAATATAAGAGTAGCATAACTGGACTGTGATTTTACTTTGAAAGTGGCCAACTAATGATTTTTACTAAGAAAGACTGTAAATTAAAAAGTGATCATTGTCTGGAAGAACTAGAGGATATTCCAAAGACTGCATAGTGAACAAATTTATCACCAGCAATGCCAAAAAAAGAGACAGATTTTCCACTGGCCTTAGGGTGGTATCTCCTCCCCCTGACCAAACATACCTCTTGCCTTTGCTTTGTTTCCATGCTGTCTCAGCAACATTCCTATTAGGAATCCAGTTTCCCCTGAACTAAAAACTGGGGTGAAAATTCGCTGGATGGAAAAGGGAATAATTCTAGTCATTTGGAAGGAATGTCCTTTTTGAAATTAATTTACTGGTGGATGGTTCACATAGTTTTTCCTCTTATGTATTTGATGGTTGTGATTCAGCCAATCCAACATCTGTGAATGCTGCAACGCTGACATGAGGGTTTGAGGCATTGAACTGATGCTGTTTTATGAGGTTTCTTTTTGAAAAATGAATTAGCCCTCAACTGCCACCATGCATTTATACTATCATCTGTATCTCCTGTGCGAAATCAGAGTCATCTCCTATGACTTTCCTAAAATGAGCAAGTTATAGCTATCTATAATCCTAAACTGAATTGTGTAATCATAGTATCGGAAATGCCTTAATATTAATTTTTAAATGTCAGATGTATTTCTACTCAAATGTAAAATTCTAGATAAATTTTTATTGCCTGGATTCCCTTGATGTGATAACATGAAACTGTGATGAATGGTTAATAATCTTCATGTACTCTGTGGTCTAAGTACATAATAGCATTATTTTGAGATTTATATTTTCCTGCTAAGTCGCCTGATCATTTCAACTGCAATTCTATTTGATTACCTTCATACCAGCATTTGTTGTGTGGTCTCAAAATGTCCTGGCATACCTGAGTTATAAAGCAATGTAACAGCCCTGGCTGGTTTGGCTAAGTGGATAGAGCATCCGCCTGTGGACTGAGGGTCAGGGGTTCGATTCCAATCCAGGGCACATGCCCAGATTATGGGCTCAATCTCCAGTGTGGGGTGTGCAGCAGGCAGCCAATTAATTCTCTCTCTCTTCCTCTCTGAAATCAATAAAATATATTTTAAAAAATAAATAAATAAAGCAATATAACATCACAACACTCAACCATGTGCTACACTCCAGGAAATACAAGTATCTACCAGTGAGCGTCATGGTCACAACAGTGGTGGTTTACTTGTTTGTCCTTAAAACTTCATTTTTTTTTTTTCCTACCTGGTTTCATGTAAATTATTATAGGCCCAGAACACAAACTTTGTGCATTGGGTGGGTGTCCCTCAGCCCAGCCTGCCCTTCGGGGGATGTCAGACTGCCAGTTTAGACCCAATTTCACTGGCAGTAGGACATCCCTCTCACAATCTTGGCTGCTGGCTCCTAATCACTTGCCTATCTGCCTGCCTGTGTGATTACCCCTAACTGCTCTGCCTGCTGGCCTAATCATCCCCAACTGCCCTCTGCTGGTCAATTTGGTCTGATTGGTCAGTTTCTATGCCAGTCAGCATCAAAAGCTCCATCTCTTAGGCAGCCATTGGCTCCTCGCAGCTCACCCAGATTTGGTTCTGATTGGTCAGTTTCTATGTCAATCAGCATCAAAAGCTCTGCCTCCTAGGCAGCAATTGGCTCCTCACAGTTGACCCAGATTTGGTTCTTTTTTGGGGGTGGAGTGGTGTGAAGGGAAAGGTGGGTTGTTCAAGTGGTTATTACAGGAGTCAAACCACATAAGTGGTGTAGACCCTGGGAATGCTACCTTTCGATGTTGATCACAAAGCCCCCATGACTGGTCCTGGTGAGCCCCAAGGTCAGAAATGAAACTGAAAGGCCTTAGTCACATGCTGCTTCCAGGCGTGCAGGCTGGGCAGCAGGGAGGAGATGTTCATAATATGCCAGATCTCTCCATTGGACACCACTGAGGTCTAGTAGGACAGTAGCTGCATGTCTGCCTCTGCCAGGAGCCCAATCATGGTAGGCAGCATGGCAGGGTTGGAGGGCTGAGCCTGGAACAGGATCAGGGGCAGACCCCTGTGGAGAGGCACTGCTGGTCTGAAGGCAGTTCTGTTGAGTGCCTGCAGCACAGGTGTGGTGCCCTGGATAGCACCTGCCAGGGCCACACTCAGGAGACCTTCCCTGCATCCTTGCTTTCCTGGTACAGTGGGGTTATGGGAGGTGGTTACATTGAAGCAAGCCTCCTTCACGAGCAGTTTGGCATTCACCAAGTTCACATCCACATGATTAGTAGCATCTTTGAGGAGGCCAACAATGACTGTGAGGCTCCGGGAGTTCCTGGCATTCTTCAGGGATAAGCCCTGCTTTACACCTGAATAGTCCCTTTGGGGGACCCTGCCAACGCACACATCAGAGTCCTCAGAGCTCCTGCCAGACTGATCCAAGGTTTGGTGTGCGGAGAGAAGCTGCTGGTAATGGCCTGTGTATTCATTTTCCCACAAGTGCTCTCTCCTTCACCATGTCCACAAACTGGACAGCGATCTCTTCCCTGCAGCGGCTCTGGGCTTCCTTGGTGCTGGCGCTGAGGTGTAGGCAGCTGGTGATGTTCTCATGGTCCACCAAGGCATGATCCAGAGGCTGCTCCTCCGTGAACATGTCCAGTCCTGTGCCCTCACATTGCCCCAATTGCAGGGCTCAGAGCAGTGTGCCCTCATCCACGATCCCTCCATGGGCATAGTTCACCACATGCACACCCTTCCTGCACAGGGAGAAGGTGATACAGTTTAGCAGGCCTGTCAAGGAGGGCAGGAAAGAAGAGTGCACAGTGATGAAGTCACAGAGGGGCCAGTTCCATCACAGAGGTGCCAGATCTCACAGAGGGGTCACATCTCCTCCAGTTGATTGCTGAAGAAGGCCGAGACCTCTGGTGAGATGATGGGGTCGTATCTTACAGTCTTCATTCAGAAGGATGGCCATCTCTCTTCCGATCCTCCCCAGGCCAAGAATTCCCAGGGCCTTTCCATTCAACTCGGTTTCTATGAACTTCTTTTGGTCCCATTTGCCATCCTTCATTGAAGCCCTTGCCTGGGGAATCTGCCTGACACATGATCATCCCACAGGTGAGCTCTGCTGTTGGCCGATTGGAGCATAAGGCCTTCACAGTCCTGCAGCTCAGCTATCAGCTCCTCTTCGCTCAGGTTCTGCTTCTCCACCACCTGCAGCCCTCCATCTTGCTGGATCTTCTGGCAGCAAGGGTCCAGGCTGTCACTGATGAGTACTTTCTGTAGATCTGCAAAGGCCATTGCTGGAGCCGGCCTTAGGATTGACCACTCTCTAGGCCCCCAAATTTTGTTCTGATTGGTCAGTTTCTATGCCAGTCAACATCTCTGGGCCTATCAACAGGGCCTGATAAAAAAGGCGGGGTTGATCAGCAGCTCTGGTGGAGTGCTGGAGAGAAATGGAGGCATGGCTGCTGGCCACACTGAGAGAGAAAGAGAAAGGCAAGTGTTGGTCAAAAGCTGCCATAGAGGAACGGATCAGTCCCTGCTTCTCTCTTCAGGCCTCTCTCTGGCCCTGATTCGCAACCCCCTCTGCAGTCAGTGCTGGGGCGCCAGACCTACAGTAGAATCAGGTGACCCAGCACTGACTTCCAGGTCTGGTCAAGTTTAGGTTGTAAAGGTGTTACACTCTGGCTCTTTATTATAGAGATTAGCTGTTTTGGGTGGGTTTTGAGGTTTATACAGGCACATTGCTTATCAAAATCTTAAAAATAAAATTGGAAAAGGGGACATTTTATTCATAAAGGAAAACCTTATGACCATTCAATGGAATGAACACATTAATAAATTGTTACTTTCCTACCACAACACTAAATCTTGGCACTGAACAAAAGTACCAAATATAGCATTTTACAACCTATTTTTTCCATAAATATGCATTCTTTTTACAGTTGGAGGAAAACATTGTCATTTATATAGAACAAAAAAAATCACTAAAATAAAAACATCTGGTGAAAACAGACTAATATGTTAAGATCTGAGGGGATGCATTCAGACTGACTATCAGGTTTGTGAAAGAAAATTTAAAAATTTAAACTAAAACATCCTGCTTGACAGTAGTGGTGTTTTTGACTTCTTAAAGTCTACTCCATTCCAAACACAATATCCATACTAATAAAAATAATCACTTCCTATAGCTGGCAAATTATTTTTGAGGCATGCATATCTTTGGCCAGAAATACAGGAATTACAGCTATTAGATTTATTCCAGAAAATACCTGATTATCAAAAGATACTTTGAAAGACAAACACTTTATGACTCAGCCATTACTGTGTCTATATGTGATGTTTGGAATTGATGCAGCCATACTGGGCCATAAGGGCAACCAGAGCTAAAATGATAGCATGCTATATAATAAAAAAGAAACATGCAAATTGACTGTACCTCTGCTATGCCCATTAGCCACACTCACCAGCCAATCAGTAGCTAGTATGCAAATTAACCAACCAAGATGAAGGTAACCATGGAACTGGAGCAAGCAGGAGGCTTGGGTAGCCCCTGGAGATGGAGGAAGCCAAGCTTCCCGCCCTACCTGGCTTGTGCTCAAGTCGACAAAACTGCAATTGTAGAAGTTAAATAAATCCCAGATACCTGCTTCCAGCCAGCCCTGGCCTCTACTCAAGGAGGTGCAGGGGGAAGAAAAAAAAAAAAAAAGCACAAAAGGAAGGGCAGGGAGCTTGAATCACCAGGGGCTGTGACTGGCCTGCAAACAGCCATCAGCTCCTCACCCAGGCTGGCCAGACACCCTAGCAGGACCCCCACGCTGATCCAGACAACCGTCAGGGCAAACCAGCCAGCTCCTACCTATGCACCAGGCCTGTATCTATACTAATAAAAAGGTAATATGCTAGTTAGACTGGGAGACCTTCCAGAAGACATTCTGGATATTCTTCTGGACAAATCCATGGTGGCAGACTGAGGAAGAGGCTGTTAGAGGCCGAGGGGAGGGCAGTTGTGGGTGATCAGGCCAGGATGGGATGGCAGTTGTGAGTGACCAAGCTGTTGGAGGTACGCAGGTGAGCAGGAGGGCCAGTTGGGGGTGAGCAGGCCATCAGTGGGGGTCAGTTGGAGGTAATTAGGACAGCGGAGGGGGGCAGTTTGGAGTAAGCAGGCCAGCAGGGAAGCAGTTGGGGACGAGCAGGGCAATTGGGAGGGGAGAGCAGGCCAGCGGGAGGGGGGGGCATTGGGGGTGAGCACACTGGCATGGGGGACAGTTGGAGATGGTTATGCTGGTTGGAGGGCCTTTGGGGGCAAGCAGACTAGTATGCAGAGTGGTTAGGGGCAATCAGGCAGGCAGGCAGGCAGGTGAGCAGTTAGGAGCCAGTGGTCCCAGATTGCAAGAGGGATGTCCAAATGCCAGTTTAGGTCTGATCCCTATAAACCAGCAGTAGGACATCCTTCAAAAAGTGACAGATTGAAGAAGATGCAGGCCAGGCTGAGGAATTGCACCCCCCATGCACAAATTTTGTGCACTGTGCCACTAATAAAAAATAATTCATTAAGGTTGTCATTGCAGTGTGGCCAGTATGGCTCAGTGGTTGAGTATCAACCTGTGAATCAGGAGGTCATGGTTTGATTTCTAGTCAAAGCACATGCACGGGTTGTGGACTCGATCTTCAGTGTGGGAAGTACAGGAGGCAGCTGACCAATGATTATTTCTCATCATTGATGTTTCTATCACTCTCACCCTCTCCCATCCTCTCTGAAATTGGGAAGTTTTGTTGAAGTTGATTGAATTTATCCCACAATGATACAGGAATGAATCTCTACTGATCATCCTAAGAATGGGGATCATATAAAACATAAGGTTAATGACTAAATAATGGAGTTAACATTTAAGGTTAAGTGCCAAGTATTATGTAATTTCCTCACAGTATGAAGATGGCTCATTAAAGATTCAACAGTTTCAAGCCTGCTTAACCCAAACAACAATGAAAAATACTCTAAACACAATTTCCCAGCTTTCAGATGAATGAGGTTAAATTGGGCAAGACAGCAAATAACGAGGGATAATAAAGAACTCAAATCATCCAGTACATTAACGAAACTGATGTGCAGCTAATACTGAAAAAGATGTATCATTCCACTGGTGAGAAGCAGGAAGAGATTGCTTCCTAAAGGTACAAGGGAAGACACTCACACATCTCTCCAGGTTCTGATAAATCCTGATTTCCAACCCTATGCTCATATCTCATATTTTCCATGCTTCCTTTTCTTGATCCCCAAGCTGTCTCCTCACCCTCACAGCGTTCTATCTGTGCCTCCTTTGTGTGTGGTGGTCTGTCTTGGAGCCATTGATGAACTGTTAACTCCCTAAGAACAGAACACTCGTGTCCAGAGTTTCCTCCGGTCCAAGAACTAAGCTAGGTATTTTATTCTCACACCACATCTATAAAGGACAAGATGAGGAGACGAGTGTCAAAGCCTTATTACATATCTGAGGTTACACATAAGTGAAGAATAAAGCTGGGCTTCAGATCAGGAATGTCTGACTTCAAAATCATTATACTTTCACCAGAGGGCAAAGCTCAGTGGTTGAGGAGGGACCCATGCATCAGAAGGACTCCAGTTAGATTCACAGTCAGGACACATGCTTGATCCCCAGTAGGGGGCGTGCAGGAGGCAGCCGATGGATGTTCTCTCTCACCCATGTTTCCATATCTCTCTCCCTCATTCTTCCTCTCTCTCTGAAATCAATAAAGACATATTTTTGAAAAATCACTATACTTTCTGGAAGACTAAACTCTCTCCTCAGAGTAGGGCTATTATTGAGATGGCATGTTCACATAGTGGGTGCTTGATAGTACTGGTTAATTCAATGAATAAAATCTTAATAAATAGGTTAAATAATTAATAAAGCATTTCTATAATAAATTAATGTCCTCCCTCAACGAATGTAGTTCTTTGCCCACACATGGACTCAGAGGTGCAGGCTTGGTTGACTAAAGCCTTTTGTGAGCTTCAGGTTATCATTTAAGCAGGAAGAAAGCATACAGATATTTTTCAACCTCTTTTGAAACCTTTATAGATTGCTTTACATAGTATTTCCGGGTTCAGTAGCCTGGCACTGAAAAACATAATTGTTTTTTATTTAACTGAGTCTAAGCAAGAAAAGTGGATTAGCCAGAATTTCCCCTTGGTGTTTGTCTTGTTTTTCTTCAACAGAAAGAGGCTAATGACATCTCATTAAGCTGATTAGGGTTTTAAAAAAATTTAAAAGTTACTGTGAATATACATGTATGAACATTTAAATTGCTGCCTCAGCCCAGCCCGTGTGGCTCAATGGTTGAACGTCGAACTATGAACCAGGAGGTCACAGTTTAATTCTCAGCCAAAGCACGTGCCCATGTTGTGAGCCCAACCCTCAGTAAGGGCATGCAGGAGGCAACCAATCAGTGATTATCTCTCATCATTTTTATTTCCATCTCTCTCTCCTTTCCTCTCTGATATCAATAAAAATAAATAAATTGCTGTCCCAATCTTTATCTATCCAACCTCTGTCATAGTAATGTAGTGTCTACATGAGTTATGTTAAGACACTTTAGTTGGTCAATATTCCAGTTATTGCAGAAAGAGGAAGACTGCAAGCAAAATGCCTGCCATACTGAAAGAAATTGGGAAAAATTTTATAATGAACCAAATCCCAGAAAATGTCAGATTTTACATTTTTATTTAGATCTCCAAGTAACTTAAGATTGTCAGATTCAAATATCACAAGCATTTTTATTAAAGTACTAACTTACTACAAACATAATAATGCTCTTGTAATTGCTCTTCCCATTTAAAGAGTCCTGGTAAATGTTTAACTCATCCAAAATGAGTTCAGTTCTGCTTGACATGACTAAGAGTTTTCATACATCTGAGACTGAAAGTTTCCAGCTGTCTTCACTAATGATGTATCAGCTGGGAGTGCTCTTGGCTTCAAGTAACACAAGAATCTGAGTAACAGCATTTTAAACAAGTGGGAGTGTATTCTCTTCACACAGAAGGATGTGGAGGTGGATGATGTCTGGCTTTGCTTCCGCTGTCCAGCAATGTCATCAAGGAGTAAGATTCTTGGTGGAGTCCTAAGACAGGGGCTCCTGGGAGAGGGGAAGACAGAACAGATTAGTAAAATGTATGCTGTATTAGATTTTTTAAAAAATGTTGTAACAAATAAGATTTGTTAAGATTTCAGTGATTTAGCATAACAGAGGTTTTCTTCTCTTTCAAGTAATAAAACTGGGTGGTGGGTAGTTAGGTA